GAAATTTTCCATTTTATTTCCACTGTGCAAATATGCTCCATATGGAGTGTATTGAACTTCATTCTTGGGACTAGAACAAGCGTTATAACAGAGACTGTTCCTCCAGGTTGTGCTGCTTAGTCATCTTTTTTCCCCTTCTGTCAGTGTTCGTCATTAAGCAGCATATTTGGAAGAAAGGCCTCTGGCCAGCAGAAACTTTGCTTTTCTTTCTGTCCTTTCTACTTTATGTTGACTCTTCAATAGTAGTATCTAGGTTCCTGGCTAGTGTGTATCATTCTCTTTCCAGAAGTATTTACCGAAGTAGTCAGCTGGTACACCTTGTTTCCCCAACAAGTACGTGCCTGCTACAAGATTAGGCAATGGTAGTACTTAAAGGGCTTCTGCTTTTTTTGTACTTGTTCTTTTGGAAGGACAGGATTGTAAGTTCCTCTTCTAAGATAAATATTGTGGCACTGTAAACACATCTTTTGATGACTACGTCACATGTGTATGGGGGGGATATCTCCCTGTCTTCCGTTCCTGTTTCCTTCCCTCTAGCACAACTGATACTGTTCAGTAAATTCTTTCTTACAGAATACAACCTCTAGAATTTCTGCTGGTTTGGAGTTGTAACAATAACCTGTTTAAGGCATAATACAGTAATTCAAGTTATTCAACATTAATTTAACAGTTTTTAATTTGTGTTTTTGTTAGTACTAGGCATTTTATTTAAACAGTCTTACTTGTGGGTGAGGTTAAAAAGAGGAATGAATTTGCAGCTTAGAGTCTTTTAAGTTCTTCTGACATGACTGCTATCATAGTATCAAAGTATCGCATAGCCAAAAAACATGCTGTCTGCCCTACTGCTTATATTTATTAAATCCTTAATATATAATACTGTACATTGAAAAGATGTTCTCTTAAAGCCTCTAGGACTAGCATTAAAAACTCATGCATAGGGTGGCAGTAACATGAATGGTACTTTGGTGAAGTAGATTTTTCTTAAAAGTGAGATGGAAACCACAAGGCCTACTTAGTTTAAGAAAGGTACATATTTTTAAAAGTGACAAGACTACCAATATGTGTTTCTGATTACCCTTTCAGTAAGGCACAGACAAGTGATTTCCCTAGAAGAGAAGCAAGTTTAAAGTTGCTACAATTACAAAATATTTCCTGCATTGTGATTAATGGGAGAGACTTCTTACTTGGCCCCACTTTAGGAATTCAAATAATTGATTTTTTTGTATGAAAATTATGCTATTCTTTCTCCATTGACCCTTTATAAAGTGATCACTAATTTAGCTAAGGAAATCTTTCTTTTTATACTGTTATGTTATACACTGTTGTTCCACAAAGATGTTGTCTTGCTCTGAGTTGTGCAGCTATGCTGTCAGTTGCAGGTGCTGTTGCATGTGTGCACAACATAAATTGTTGTAGAATGAGCAGACAATTTCTTATGTATCTAAACACTCTTACATATCAAAGATTAAGTTTCAGTTTGTCCTTGAAGCATTTTAGTGACTTTGAAATACCAAAAATATTAGTGCTTTCTGTTTCTGCCCCTACTGGTCCCCATCAAGACAGAAGATTAAAGGTAACTATCACTTAGCTATTAATAATTTAAAAAAAGGCAAAGTCTTTTTAAGTAATGATAATGCTATGGTATTTCTTCTATATAACACCAGTTAGGTTTTGTTTTTGAGAATTCCGTTGTAATTGTCTAAAAGCATTTTCTGTACTGAGCAGGTAAAGTCTGTAGGGATAAACACACACAGGCTTGATAAAAATTTTCTAGTTCTGTCATTTATGGGTGTATATATATGTATTTACATATATTTATATGAGACTGTTGGGGGTTGCATATGTTGACTCTATCCATTCTCTTAACCTGAATGAGGGGTGAGAGGGAGAGAAACTTCAGTCCTGGAAGAAAATTACCAAGGTAAAATGGAACATATTAGACTTGATTACTTTGGAAGAATCACACGCTCTTACACTCTGCCGTGCATCTCCTTTGCCCCAGGCAGGACACTCTCACGTGGCTGCCGAACAGATATTTTTGTACACTTCCATTTAGCAGTTACACCAATTCCTTGGACTTTTGCAGTTCAGGAAGGAACTTTGAGAATTCTCCATCTTCCTTCCCTGAAGTTGTGTGATAACTGTCTCTCGTATGAAAGAAAGTACTCTGTCGTTTTGGAAAGAGCAGCTTTCCTTCCAGGGGCGGGAGAGGGATTTCAGAAGGGGCTTTGGGTTTTTTTTATTTTCCTTTTTGTAGTCCACCTGGTTTAAGTCTGGAAAATGTGGAGTGGCCTAGCACTTTTTCCCTGTATGGCAAGGGATAAGCTGCTTTTGTAGAACAGGCCAGTTCTGTATCTTAAGCTAGAGAAAGCAGAAACAAATGGCAGAAAAAGGCTTGTAGGAAGAGGGCTGCTTTTGAGGCATGGGATAGACTTGTCTTCATTCAGGTAGGAAACTGGGAATAGGACTGAAAGCGTGACTGCCAAGCTCTGAGAGCATTGTCTCTGGGTTTTGAGGGGTAATTAGGAAAACTTGATTATTCAGCATTATTTTTTCTTCCATGTTGTTTTGTCCATGAAAGTGAAATATAAATTTATGAAGCTGACACTTCTGCAATTGTAATTACGTTTTGCAGTCTATAATTGCCTCATATTTGTCAGGAATATCTAATTATGTGACTTTCAGAGTTCTAAGTTAACTTGCATGTTTGTTGTAATTGAGGAAAGCAGAATATCTCACACAGTTCTAAATTGTCATAATTTCCTTATGTGTCTTCAGTAGAGTTTTTTAGTGTGGTTTATGAGTGAATTTTACTTAATGCTCAGTATTTATAAGATTTAATCTTTCAGGGATGAAAAAATGGCATGTGTCATTTGTTTTATGAATGGTTTGCTTGATCTCTACTCTACTCGTTTTAATTAAATAGGTAGAGCTTCCAAAATTGGGGAGAAATTAGTCTGATTTTTTTTTTAATTTAAAGTCAAGTACCAGGTCCTGTTTGCTTATTTCAATAGTTACCTGTTGCCAGTCACTAGCCATTTGTCCCCCAAAATGATTATTTGCAAAAAATCAGTACTTTGACTTTAGTGCTGAATGTGTTTGGCAAAGGATACTGATGATGATCTGCTTTTAAGTCTCTTCAGAGTGATGAGAAATGGCAAACGCTGTAGGGTGCACAGAACATTTAAACCCCCCTCCCAAAAAACCCCAACCAGCCAAACAACCCTAAAACTTAAAAATATGCCAGTGAAATATTGTTATCAAAGTGTACAAGAGAGCTGATGAGTGACACGTTTGGAGTAGGTAATGAAGCTTAAACTTCAAAGGGGTGGCACAGATTTTTTTTTTTTTTTTTTTAATTAATGTAAACCTGTGACAACACTGACCTTCAGAATTATTTTGAGCGCTCTGGTTTTTGTGCTTAGCTGATCAGTGGGTACCAGAGCTGAGTAAGTAACACAGAGGGGAAGGGCTCATGCTTTGTTTTCCCAGTTAGTGCGAAGCATCGCAATGGTGGCTGCCTTGAGCTGTAAGCTAAACTAGAAGATTTTGAGAGTAACGTGCTGATATTGGGGTTGATGGGTCTTACTGGTACTTATATTTTAAAAGTTTTGAAAATATTATTAACTAGTCCAGATAACTAGGCTATACATATCTGCTATTCTTAAAATATTAGGAGTATGGAGGGGGAAAAGTTAGTTGCATTGTCTGTATGAGTATTACAACATAAGCCATTAAGATAATTCAGCAGTGGAGAATACCACAGCAGTATGTCTACTCTGAAGATGGAGAAACCTTAAAGCTTATCTTGTCAAGTTTAATTAAATTTTTATTCATACCTTTTCATATAGTTATTATTGCAGTCTATGGTTTTAATCTAAGTTTATGAGAATGTGACTCTTCTGTGTAGTTATTTGACAAATAAGTGCTTTACTTGCTGCAACCAATCTGTATTTTTTGCTAACAGTACACATGTATTTGACATTTATGCAAGAGATTTATTTTTAATAGAAGTATGCTAAAATTACCATACCGATATGCACAACACTCTGGAATTTTTTTTTTCTTATTTATTTTTAAGTTCACTACTGGAAAAAGCCTGTTTCAAGTCATTTAAATATAGAGTAGTATCTTGCACTTTGACCCATACAAATAAACTTTTACCTTACTGGAATGCCAGACTGCAGCCACCTGGTCTCTGCTCTTTGAAAAGAGCCTGTTCACATGGCTCAGCCAGTGGGATCTGAGCCAGTGGGGGGGGGGGGGGGGAGATTCTTTCCTTCTCTTCAAGGAAGTTTTCGTGAAAAGGTTTCATTTAAACTGACTAAAGAGTAGATCTTTCTCAGGCAAAGCTGGCAGTAGCCTTATAGCATTCTAGTCTTTTTCAGATGTGTATTGATGGAAATAGATGGAACTTCCTTTTCACTTATGCATGAGTTTTGAGAGAACAGGATGTCTACTAAGTATTCTGTATAAATTGGTCAGATTTACAGTTGCAAGTTTCCAGTACTCTTAGTCTGCTGGTAGCACAGTATTGATAGTGTAGCAAAAACTATGGCTTGCTTTTTTTTCATTCACTTGTCCTTTCATGAGGTTGGTTGTAGGTAGCATCAGTAAGGAATAAATGGATGGGGTAAAAAAAAAAAAAACCAAAATCAAACAAAACCCTGAGATTGTTAGATAATAGTAACTGATATGCAGCCAGTAGCTATGGTTTGAAATGTGCAGTGTATTGATAAGAGGGATGTCTACATTAGATGATTGCATCCAAAAGCCTTATTTTATACTGGCTTGAATCTCTGTGTGCAAATGTTATCTGTTCTTAGGCTGGATCTTGAATACCACACTTCATTTTGCTTGTGAACTAAAGAAACAGTTAAATGGAGATTTTGAAAGTCATGTTTTAGAGAATATTCTAGATTGTGAGATAAATAGTAGACTTGTTTTGTCGCCTTGTGAAAGAGATCTGATCACCTTGTGTTTTCTTGGCTTCATAATAGTTTTTGATGATGGTGATGAAAGGACCTTGAGACGAACTTCATTATGCTTGAAGGGAGAAAGGCACTTTGCGGAAAGTGAGGTAAGACAATGATGGACATGCAGTGAAAATTAAGTGGTTTGTTTATTTATTTATTTATAATGAGAAGAAATAGCAAACTAATTTTGTTTCCTCTTTTTCCATGTAGACGCTTGATCAACTGCCACTAACCAATCCAGAGCACTTTGGAACTCCCGTTATTGGGAAGAAATCTAATAGAGGAAGAAGATCTTCCCTTCCTGTGTGAGTTTTGATAGTGCTCTCTTGCTTTCCTTTAGCGTCCTTTGCTAAAACTGAAGTTGTACCTTTGAAGCTGTAATGGTCTGAATGCTCCATCATGTGAGCTGTGGACACAGCTTATGGACTTAAGTAATTCAGTTCATGCAGACGTGTTTGTATCTTAGCAGAATTAGGAAATTCATGGGGTTTTTGCTTGTAGTAGCCTTAAGAATGTTTATGCCTCTTTCATGTAATAGGAACTCACGTGTCAGGAAATGAAGGGTTTTTAACCTTCTTTATACTGCACAAAGTAGGAAAAAAAAAAGATGCTTTCAAATTTCTGGGGTAGAGGCCATTTGTCTTTGTTTTATGTCTCTGCACAATCAAATCCTGATTCATGCCTCCAATTCCAACATGATGCTATTGTAAAATACTACTACTTGGAAAGAATTTCTACAAAATTCCTGTTACTAACTAAGTGCGCTTAATATTGAAGTGTGTGTCAAGCAATTTCCACTCTTAAAACGCTAATTTTGTTTTTGAAGCTTTGCAGAACAGGAAGAGTGATCTGGTTGTAAGCTATATTTGCTTTCAAATACTAAGTTCAGATGAAAACTTTAAAATACTGTATGTTTTAATAAATTAGTACTGAAGATGAAAAGGAGGAAGAAAGTAGTGAAGAGGAAGATGAAGATAAAAGGCGTCTCAATGATGAACTGCTTGGCAAAGTTGTGAGTGTGACTTGTAATTCTGAGAAGGCAGACTGGTATCCAGCTTTGGTAAGTTGCTTAAGACATTGACATCTCTAGTGTCAGACTACTACTATCTTTTTAGACAAGAGTGTCATCCAACATTGTTCATATAGCGGTTTTCCTGGATAGGGGGGTTTGCGAACTTAAAAATTTTTACAGTAAAGTTGTGAATGTAGTCAGACTAAGTTCTGCTGCTCATATTTGCTAAAAATACAATTTTTCTACAGTATCTATGAAGAGTAGGAGAGCAAAGATTAATGTTTATGTATATGTTACAGTTCTATGGCTCTTAAGTCTTTCAAAACTGTACATAAAATGGTTGATATGTAACAATATTTTTCTTCTAAAAATAAGATGCCTTAGGACTTGCGCTCCCAGGCAATTTAAGGGCAACTAAATTTGTGAATTTTAATTGTAGTGGAATTTGTACTTTTTTGTATTTAATGATTGCCTTTTTCCTTAGACTTTCAATTTTATGAAATACTAGTTCTCTTCATGCTTGCATTTACATAAATGGCCAGTTACTCTAGCAGTAGATGTTAATTATTATTTTTGTTTTACTATCAATATAGGATACAGCTGTTCACTGCCATTGCTGACGATAAATATATATTAAATAAATAACTGTACAAGTTTACTTGTACTTGAAAGGTAGACATTTTGCAAATTCTTTATATACCTAGAAGGGTTTATGGATGCATATTAAAAGTTGATTTCTTTAGTAAATTTTTTGGTATTGTCAGACAAGCTTAATACACATCACCTGTGATCCATCAGAGGTGTGTTTGTTTTATAAAAAAAAAATTATTTGGACCATTGAACAGGCACGTTTGGTTCACTAATTTTTGCAGATTTTATTTACTTAACCATATGTTCTGTAGTCCTTTATTTTTGAGTCTTCAGGGTTAGCTGCAACGAGCTCAGCTGTTACAATCTTCTAACTTAGTTTAAGATTTTATTTCCCTGTGTGAATCCAGGATCAAAAGGTAACTAACTACACAGGCCAGTTGTCTTCCCTTCCTTGAAAGAACATTATGTTGTAATGTAGGCTGAATGGCTGACACTTGACTTAACCAGCTACACTTGACTTATCCGGCTCAGTTTAAATGTGTGAAATGTGGTATCATTGTACATGTTCTGATTGTTGTGTATCCCTTTACTAATGACAGATTTTAATTTAACATGGATCTAACTAGGGGATTAAGTTACTGGAGGCCATGTACCTGTTCTGTTCTCTGCTACCTGAGAAACAGGAACGTACTATCTTGCTTTTTGGGGTAAAACTTCTGATTCATCTGAATGGGGTGCCACAGCTTCCGCTTAGTCCTGGTAGATCCAGAAGTTCATCTGCATTTGACATTTTCTGTCTGTATATGGTCTAGAGCAAAATGTATACTGGTTCTGTGTGTGGTAATACAAATATTGCAAATGCATTTTTATCACCTTTTTAGACTTAGAGATGATACTGCTGTGGAAAGATGTGCTGTATTCCACACTGGCTTGTAGTATCCACACCTCAAAAAAAACCCAACAAACCCATAACTGCTTACCTCTCAGTTCGAATGCCAAAGATCAGAAGCTGGTATAATATGAGTAGGTCTGACTTTTTAAATAGCTGCTTTAAGTAAGTTTTGTATGAACAAAAGAAAAAAATCAGAGTGAATAAACAGGATCCCTTGAAGTCAACCCACTAGAGTAGTTTTGAGTTTACAAATGAAATTGCAAACTTTTCTAGCTTGTACCTAACAAGTTAAGTTAACAGTTTGAGGTAAACTGCTTCTTCAAATTTGTCATTCTTGCTCTTAGTAATATAAATTGGAGTAGATTTCTCAGAAATGGAAATTAAATAGAAGAAAAAGGAAAACAGCTGTTTTCCTGCTGTCCATCTTTCTTTCCTTTCAAGATCAGCTTTTTTTTTTGTTTAAAGAAAGTGTTTTATTTGAAACTTCAGGTTGTGTCTCCCAGCTGTAATGATGACGTCACAGTGAAAAAGGACCAGTGTTTAGTTCGATCCTTTGCAGATTCCAAATTGTAAGTAATAGCTTGCTTTCATTAGATGTATATGGAAGAAAAATGCAAAACTAATTACATATTGCTTCTGAAGGCGTTGTTTCTTCCAAAAGGAAAGTGTACAATTTTGTGTATTTTTAGTTGTATACATTTGTCATTCGTAATCCATTTCCAGCCAACTTCTGCGCTTACTCACCTACCTTTACATTGTACAGATAGAGTTCATTGGGTTAGTAAAGTTTCTGGTGTTTCTTCGTTTTAAAAGAATCAACAACTTTGAAAAAACCCAGGTGTTAACACTTTGGATGATTCCTGTTCTTTGAAGTGTGAGTTTTGGTTCTAATTATTTCCCTTAATGTCTTAATTATTACATCTTTATGGGTGTCTGTTGTAATAGTTTGGAAATCTGATTGACTCATTACCTCCAGTGCCCAGATGTCCATTGCTGTTTAAATAGCAAAGTTTAAAAGTGTTTAATCTACTTTTTTAATAAAAGAGTGAATGTAAAGTAACTTTTTAATTAAAATTTTTACAGAATCTGAATCAAGATTCCTGGGGGAAAAAAAAGAAAGTTCCTATTAGTGTGCCCCCCACAAAAGGGGGGGAAGGAGGAGAGAGAGAGAGATGTGTGTCTCACTTATGGAATAATATATTCAAAAGAATATGAAGACTGGTTTTTAAAGCTGTTTCCCATTATTTCTCTTCATCCTTAACTTTTAACGCATCTGTCTCAACATATTATAACTAAAAATTTCCTTGCCGAAGGTCAGGCATCACCCCTCTGCCTCTCTTTCTTTCAAAGTGAACACTTTGTAATTTTTAATAGCTGTGATTTTGAGTAGGGTGTGAGTACTTGATTACTGAAGCATATTTCAAGTAACTGAAGACTTAATTTGTTTTGGCGTCTTAATGTAGACATGTATCCTCAGCCTTCTAGATAAGTCTGGTTCTTTATATACTGAAGGTAGAATGTTATTGGAAAAGCATGCAGACTTGCTCTGTTTTACTTTTTTTTCCCCATAGTCTTATGGCTTTAACTTCAGAAAATGGCGGCCTCCAATTCCTGAGGTTTTACTCCAGTTTTTCTGAAATAATGAAAGAAGAAAAAAAATCTTATTATAATAACTCACTTGTAAGGCTTTCCTTGCAGGTTGGTTAGCATTTCTATTGTAGTAATTCAGTAACTGAATATTCAGTATAACTTTAGAACAGAGCAACTTCCATATATTGTGCTGTAAGAACACTTTTGTAATTTTAAAAATAAAAATCAACTATTTATGAATGCAGATATGTGAATTTGGCTTCACTGTTATTCTGTGCTAGTAGAAATGCTTCTTTCTTCTTAGCTAGATTGCTATTTTGGGTAGCAACTATCGATTGGTGTGAATATTTTCAATTTAGAAAATGTTTTTTGTTTATGTAGAGTATTTTACCTGTGCAAATTTAAACATTCAAAGTAAAGAAGCTTTACAAACTTTTCTTAATTATTTAAATACAAGAGTTGTTTTAGTGCCTGAAGAAAGATTGGAAACTTATTCTGGTTTTGACAGTAACAAATGCCTTATGCGTTATATTAGAAAGGACCTTGAAAATTTTAGAAATTGCTATTTTTCTAACTGAAATGCTTGCTTTACTGTGATTTAAAAATAACAGCAGAACTTTATTCTTTTTCAGTTACTCAGTAGCAAGAAAGGACATTAAAGAACTAGACATTCAGAACTTGCCAAAATCTGAGTCCTCTCCTAAAAAAGGTAAATTAGAATAAATTCTAGGTATTTAAAAAAAAAAAAAATCTCGTGCAATGGTGCTTTTAACTTTTGCAGATAAATTATGGCCTGTTGATTTCTGATATTGCTCTTGGATATTTTGCAAACAATTTTAAATGTGATAAATGAGAGAAACTTTGGATATAGCTGCCTTATTATTAAAATTGCACCCAGTAGAAGTGTCGTTTATTTGATTTTTATTTCCTTCTTGTGATCCACTCCAAGTTCTTAGAAAGTGAATAGAATATTTTTAAGGTATAGTATTTGAAATGTCATTGAACAATGGAATATATGGTTAAGTCTCCTAAAACCAAAGTTTTGTGCTATTGTTCAAAACTCTTTGTCTTTACGTTAAAAATACTCAGACAGCAAAGTGTAAACTTTAATCACAGGCAGGCTGTTCTAATAATGTTTGACTTAAAAGTATAATTAGAGAACTTGATTTCTGGATGGATGGATGACTACAGTAATCCATCTCTTTAGTGAGGTTGTAAAAGGCCAGATTCTTACTTTAATGTAAATAATTCTTAAATTTTGGTGTTGTTTCTCCCAATCAGACCTCAAAACACAAAAGTTGTTAAGGAGCAATTTTTAAAATATATAATAAAACAATAACAACAAAACCCCTCCTCTCAACAAGCGCAATTCCTCCATTTTGAGTAACGGTGTGGAACAGCTCCTTAACAAGTAATGATTGACTGTGACATTCACAAATGAGAGCTTGAGGTGGTTTTGATTAATTTGTGTAATTCTTAATGATTTCTCTTATACTTTCTTCTTAATAACTGTTTCACAGTATAAGAACTTTAGAACAGCCAAAAAAATGATCAGATGCCAGGTTTGAGATAAATTGATGAAAGGGATTTTTTTTCTGTGGAGAACATAATTGGGTTGTGACATTCATTGCCATGAGGGAATATTGTGGAACCAAAGGTACTAATGGTTTCAAAAAAAGAGTTTAGACAAATTTCCAGAGGTTACTCTATCAGCAGCTATTAAAAACTGGTGCCTTTTCTTCTCCAGCAGCATTGTGAATGGTTCATTGGAATATGTCCCTCGTTTGGGTGTTCTTCCGATTCCTCTTTATTAAAGTCTTTTATTGTGTCTGGGGGGGGCATGTTTTGGGGTTATCTGGGTTTGTTTTGCTTTGTTGTTTTCCCACTTGGAGCACCTCTTCAAGGAAAAGAATTTGAGGTATTTTCATTGTACAAGTGTGACTTCTCCCCATCCCATCACTCCCTTACTCATCAGTGTATTTTTCCTTTCCAAACATTAACGTAGCATCTCTTTAGGCAGTTCTCTTAAACAAAATATTTGCATTTTTTTTTCAATCTAAACTTCAAGACATGAAGATATTTTGAAAAGAACAAAGTACTTGATCTAACTGTGATGGCTTTGCTTTTTGAAATAATTTTATTACGGTATTTGTGTCTTTCATACAGAAAGAGAACAGTTCACAGTTGCAGAGAATATATGTGGATGCATATAGGTGCCTATCTTTGGTACTGTTCACATATATAGGTGTAAACCTTAGCAGTGCTCATGGGGACCTACGCCTAGAAAACTGCTGGATGCTGTGTGTGGATGGATGTTCTCAACTCCTTGAGTTGCTGATAAGCTCAAAATGTAAAGCGTGTAAACCGAGTGTTTAAAGCTGAAGTATCTATTTTATGACTTAATTCCATTTTTGGTTTAAGTTGGCATTGTAATTTACAAGAAGGTGAAAAAGGAAATTAAAAATGCTTTGTAAGTAATGCGGATGAGGTAAAAGCAGGGCCCTTTCTTCTGTAGGGCTACAGGAGGCAAGCACGTTCCTCAGCACAAAGGGCGTTCCTCGGAACTGGAAAATGGACATCAGTGAAATTCTGGAGTCCTCTAGCAGCGATGAGGAAGGTGGAGCTGCTGCAGAAACTGATGAAGAGGAAGAAAAGAGAGAAGAGAAAACTGAAGAAGTAGTGGTAAGTTTGAGCAATTTCAGTCATTCTTCAAAGATAATTTGAATTTGCATGCCTGAAAGTCCTGTACTTTCTGACATTTTACTCTCAGACAGCTTACTCACTTTAACATCTTTTCAGACCGGTTCATCTTCCCTTTGCTACGAGTTGTCTTTACTGGGATTTGTGAGCACTGGCAGATTGCCTTCTATTATCCAGTGCAGAAATTGGAGGCAAATCTCAGAAATTAAGAATTCAAGGCAGAGAAGAGTGACAGAATGAATCTGGGTCAGAAGGAGAGATGTAACCAAAAAAATGGATCCCGAGCCTAATAGTAGTAATCCAAACTTAAATAAAACTAACTTTCTATTTTTCTTTTGTACTTTATATGTAGCTTATACAAAAAATAACTTGTTTCTGAAAAGAGTAGTTTGATTAAAAAGCAGAAGGACAAACTATTAAAGCGAAAGCAATAGGCTGGCTGCAAGTATGAGCACAGTGCCTGTTAAGACACTGCTTAAGAGCCATATAGGAGTTACCTTTGTAAGTATTAGTTTTTTTCTTAACACCAGTATTACCAGTTGGGAATTGTAGAATCAGATGCTATGACGTGGATGGACTTTCTGTCTAATTTTTACGGCAATAGGTTTTTCTTTTGAGAAGATAAGGGACAAAACTCCTTAAATATAACCAGTGAAGCCAAGATGCCATAGCAAGCATTGGCATCAGCAATTTTAAGGCTGAAATAGTTAGCCAGCTTCTTCATGTCATCAAAACAGTATCTACAGAGTTTCCTTTTATTTCTGCTATCTGTTTTTAACCTGGGTGTTCTATTTAGAAGTACCTTAACAGTCTACTTAGAAGTAGGGGCAGGGGGGTGTGTTTGGTTGTGAGGTTAGTTTGTTTTGGTATTTTTCCTCGTCGTGCGATTTTCACAGTACCCTCAGAAACGTTCCTTTCTTTTTATAGAAAAAAAAAAAAATGAAGGGAAGTTTATCTTCTGAGGAAGGTCAAACCCCGTTTCCCTTTCGCTTCCCCTGCAGCGTGCGGTTTTGTCAGCCCCGAGCGCAGAATGGCCGTTCAGACTCGGAGGCGGCCTACAGCGTTGCCAGGGCAACCGGAGTGTTGGTCGGCACCGCGCATGCGCGGGGGTGGAGGAGCGAGAGAGAGAGAGAGAGAGTGTGTGTGTGTGGCGGGAGGGGGGGGAGAGAAGCGGGCGCTGGAGCGGAGGCTTGGCCGCCGGCCAGGGGGAGGTTTGCCAGATGCTTTGAAATGGGCTGTCTCTTTTCTTTGCCTTTCATGTAATGTCTGATTTTTTTTTT